GCTCACAGTAATGTTTAGAGTCAAGCAAAAATGACTCTACAGAGCACAGAGGTCAACCCTGATTCTATACAGGTCATCTCTAAGATAGAAATGAGTTGTGGCTAGAGAGATAATACAGGGCTTACGAGGCTTGTCTTGCAGGTCACTGAATCCAGTTTGATGCCAGCTATTGCATATAATCCCCAGAGCACTGTAAGGAGTGAAACCTAAGAGCCCTGAGCACCAACAGGTGTGGCCCCTCCAAATCAAATTAATAAATTCTTTGATTAAAACAAAATGATAGGGCTGGAGCGATAGTATAGCCAGTAGGGCATTTGCCTTGCATGCTGCAATTCTGGGTTCAATTCCCAGAATCCCATATGGTCCCCTGAGCACCCCAGAACTAATTCTTGAGTGCAGAGTAAGAGTAACCCCTGAGCATCACCAGGCGTGACTCAAAAAATTATAGAAAATGAAAACAATATTTTAAGGGGTTTTGTAAATTTCTTTATTTCTTTATCAAGCCACCATGATTTACAAAGATGTTCATAATAGGGTTTCCGGCAAACAATATTCTAACACCAACTCCACAACCAGTGTCAACTTCCCTTAAGAAATGTGCCCACATTCCCTCTCATTCCAGCTTGCTTCCCTAACAGGCACATTTTTCAGTTTGATTATCATGTCTTGGATCCATGTTCACAGTATTATTGGCTCTATAGTGTAGATGTCCATCTCTCCACTTTGCCCGTCACCTCCTGACCACTTTTTCCTACTCCCCACCTCCTCCATTTTCCTCCTTCCCTGGACTTTTTGATTTCTGTAATCTAGGGACAAAAGTTTGTCATTTTTTGATGCTTTGCATTCATTTACATGATGTTTTATATACCACAGAAAAGTGAGATCATTCAGTATTTGTAGATCAAACTGTCATTGCCCTAGATATTCTTGACACTGATTTGTAACTCCACATATTCATGCCGTGACAAATTTTCTGGTGGATTCTCTCTGAAACAAACAAGTCTTTCATCCTAGTAATATCTTTGCTATGTCTCTCTAAAATTTTATTTTAAAAGTTTTGCATTATCCGCCCTCTCTTCTCTGGAAAGAAGGATGGCGGCTGCATGGGAGCCTTGTGGACAGCAGGTATGAGCCGGGGGTGTGGGGGCGACTAAAACCTCATGGGAAGGGGGGCGTTCCGGTCCGTCCTTCACGCCCTACCGAGGTCACCAGTTGCCCCCCATGAGCGGCTCTCCAGCACAGCCACAGCCCCAGAAGCACAAGGACTTCATGCAGAACCCAGCAGCTTGGAGCAGAAAAGTGAAAGGACTATGCGTTAATCCAGGCCATCATGTCTGCCCGGAGGGGAAAGGGTGTTGCTCCCTTCCGCCCTCCTCCCTCTGGAAAGAAAGATGGCGGCCACATGGGAGCCTTGTGGACAGCAGGTATGAGCCGGGGGAGTGGGGGCGACTAAAACCTCATGGGAAGGGGGGCGTTCCGGTCCGTCCTTCACGCCCTACCGAGGTCACCAGTCGCCCCCCACGAGCGGCTCTCCAGCACAGCCACGGCCCCAGAAGCACAAGGACTTAATGCAGAACCCAGCAGCTTGGAGCAGAAAAGTGAACAGACTATGCGTTGATCCAGGCCATCAAGTCTGCCGGAGGGGAAAGGGTGTTGCCCCATTCGCCCTCTCCTCTCTGGAAAGAAAGATGGCGGCCACATGGGAGCCTTGTGGACAGCAGGTATGAGCCGGGAATGTGGGGGTGACTAAAACCTCATGGGAAGGGGGGCATTTCGGTCCGCCCTTCACGCCACCAGTTGCCCCCACGAGCGGCTCTCCAGCACGGCCACAGCCCCAGAAGCACAATGACCTGATGCAGAACCCAGCAGCTTGGAGCAGAAAAGTGAAAGGACTATGCGTTAATCCAGGCAATCATTTCTGCCCAGAGGGGAAAGGGTGTTGCTCCCTTCCGCCCTCCTCCCTCTGGAAAGTAAAATGGCAGCCACATGGGAGCCTTGTGGACAGCAGGTATGAGCCGGGGGAGTGGGGGCGACTAAAACCTCATGGGTCGGGAGGCGTTCCAGTCCGTCCTTCACGCCCTACCGAGGTCACCAGTCGCCCCCCACGAGCGGCTCTCCAGCACGGCCATGGCCCCAGAAGCACAAGGACTTAATGCAGAACCCAGCAGCTTGGAGCAGAAAAGTGAATGGACTATGCGTTGATCCAGGCCATCAAGTCTGCCAGAGGGGAAAGGGTGTTGCCCCATTCGCCCTCTCCTCTCTGGAAAGAAAGATGGCGGCCACATGGGAGCCTTGTGGACAGCAGGTATGAGCCGGGAGTGTGGGGGCGACTAAAACCTCATGGGAAGGGGGGCGTTTCGCTCCGCCCTTCACGCCCTTCTGAGGTCACCGGTCCCCCCGCGAGCGGCTCTCCAGCACGGCCACGACTCCAGAACACAGAAACCAATTTCTTAACTATCTGACTTTCAGTAGAAATACTTCCAGGGTCAATAGGTAAAATAGCAGAAATCCAAAACCAACATTTAATTCTTGAACCCAGCTGTAGAAAGCAAATCACTTCACAATGCTTTTTCAGCATGTCTGATTTGGGGGGGGGTGGTAAACTCTAAATAATAGTGGTGAATCTTTTATTGAAACAATGAATCTAATCAAAGCAGATAGAGTGTTAACTAGAATTCATCTGCCTCACAGGGACGGGGAGGGGTGGGGGGTGGGGTTTTATTGGGGTTCTTCATGGTAAAAAATAAGTATTTGTAAAGGGAAATGTGTTTGATATTTGCATGACTGAGACATAAACCTGAAAGCTTTGTAACCTTTCCCACAGTGATTCAATAAATAAAAAAAAATAAATAAAAGTTTTGCATTATCAACCAAATATGGCAACAGTCTCTCACTATACAGTCTATACGTAATGCCATAGAATTTTTAGTTTAACTATGTCATGCTCATTATGTGAAGTACTGCTGCTAACTTACATCTATTTCCTAAAGTATGTATTAATAACCAGTATATGAGAAGTTGCTAGGATCCTATATTATACCTAAAACCCAGAGAGAGCATTTTCAACTCAATAAATCAATACCAAGACTAACAAGTTAGACATAGCTCAGTTTCTCAAAAGTAACCTATTCTCTGAAGTGATTAAGAGGTGCTTAAGTAATAAGAAATAACATTTGAAAAATTGTGATCAAATCTTTATAAACCGTCTCTCAGAGGTTTATTTTCATGACTGAAAACTTGACGGCTATCTCAGGTTGAGATCCACAAACCCCTTGTTCTTTCCTTTATAACTAAAAAACCTTTCTTCTAAACTTGAGTGATAGTATGTGGGTAAAACTTGACTTGCAATGGCCAAACTGACTTTGATCCCCAGCATCCCATATAAAGGTATAAGATCCTAGCAGTAAATTCTCTGTTTTAGTTTAGTAAAAATCCTCTTTTATCTAAATTATTTTTCTCTGAGTTTTTTTTTAGGGGGCAAGAGGGAGATCTAGACAATAAATAGCATAATAATTTTAGTATTAATGATTCATGCAAGTTCTAAGATAGTTCAATTCTAGATAAGACAAATTAATTTGAAAGCAATAACTTTGTTTTCCTCCATAGCAAAACTTTTATGAGTTGTGTTGTTCTAAGAATTGTTATACAATGGGCATAAACCAATAATACATTATCATATAATTTCAATCTTGGACTTCTACTAGAGTAGTACAACATTAACAAAAATGAAGAAAAAAGAACACAAATTCACTGTAAGAAGAAATTCTAAATATAAATGAATTCATAGTAACAAGAAGTTGTGCTTAGAATGTTAAAATTAAATTTTCTAAAAGAAAAATTTAAAAACACAAATATTTACTCACTACTGTTTTTTAAAATGTATACCTTGTTGGTTCATATTTATTAAATTGTGTATACAAATAACATAACTGAAAAGATGAAGAAGTAAGCTCTAAAAGATAAATAGAAATTTAGCAAATTTGTTCAGAAACGTATCTTAAAGATAGAGAGATGCTTAATAGTTTTAAGATTGAGCCTACACCAAACTAGCTCACAGTTGCTCAGTCTAGTTTTGTTCTGTTTTTGAAGAACAAAAGGGCCTTAACTGTTCCTGTGTTTTTCATTTCTGTGTTTTAGACCATTGCTCTATAGTTCCATATTTTATTTTGAAAACTTATCAACATTTAATTCTATAATTTATTAAACTTTTTTAAAGTTACTCTATTGGGACACTCGTAATAAATACTCCATGATAAAATAAGCAGAATGAAAATATTCTAGAGCAGTTAGTCATTACCAAGACATAAGATAGTAATGGTCACAAGGAAACTTTGCTCAGATGATAATTTAATAACATTACTAAATGTGTTGGAATCCATATACCTACCACCTAGATGATTAGGAAAGGGGTTATTAGCTAAGCCATTGTCTGAAATCCACTGAATCACTGATCCCTTTGAAAAATGATTGGTCCTTCTTTTCCAAAGATGGGTTTTAAAATTTAAGAGAAGTTCAAAACTCCAGAGCTGAAGCATATAAAGAGCACAGATCTTGCTGGGTTTAGATTTTCTCTTCCTAAGCAAAAGTGTGAGGTAAGATTTGAAATCTTTGCTTTACTTTCATAGTTTTGAGAACAAAATAAATCAGCTCCACAGGTTAGACTGTCAATGTGACTCTGCAGGTTTTTGTGCGTATCAGGTTTCACAGGATACCTGAAAGAAAGAAAGATATTTTCAGCATTAATTCATTTGATTACATCATATGCCAGCAAAAAATGATCATTTGGTCAAGTTAAAGAAACCAAAAAGAAAAGGATTTTATAAATAGCTACCCTTAGAGTTAGAAGTGAGTTTTACTACAGATCCTTTAATATGTAAGCAGTATAGTAGTTCACCCATCCACTTCTCTGATTGAGCAATAACAAAAAATTGTCATGATGTTTATCTAAAAAGTTGATAAGGTAAATTTGGCAATTTGTCTCCTAGAAAGTTCATCTGAAAATGAAAATTATAATTTTTCTTGGACTCCTGGGAGCCACAATGCCAGCCCCGGTAAGTGATGGCTTGGTATAACTGCTCTCTTATAGGAAACCTGAAAAATATCATTTTTTTCACCATTTCTGGTTTTTGTTTGTGTTTTAGCTTATTCCACAGCGCCTTCTATCTGCAAGTCACAGTCATGAGGTTAGTTTAAATAATTAAAGAAATATATATTTTAATAGAAAAATTCACTGAAAAGGATAACAAAAGTCTGCCCCTTGATTTATATGCATTATATCTCCTGTTTTACATTCAAATGCATTCCCAATCTTCATTCTTATATTCTATACCAAATTACTTCTAGAATATTATGTTCCCTCTCTTGCTTGATTGCAAGTTTTTCAAATGCAGAAACAATATCTTTTATCTTTTTGTTCTAAAATCACCTGAAAGAGGTGTAAATAGGAGTTAGAATATAAAATGACTAAACCACTGAACCACTGGAATTTGCTAAGATTGTGCAAACATGCACATAGCAGGAAAGAGGTAGTTAAATCCCAGCCACTAATCACTGTGATTTATTATTATCTTGGTGGGAAATTATCTCACTTCTAACAGGAATGGTAATTAGTCATTTCTGATCTGAGCTATATTGTAGTAATCATTGTTCTTAATACTTTTAGTATGTATAATACTCTGTTTTCATGCTCTCTTTCTTTTCTAGTTACTTCTGAATCTTAATAATGGCCAACTTCTGCCACTACAATTTCAGGTAAATGTGCACCAATCATTTTAAAAACTTTTCTAGTGGACTTTTCATGAGAATAAATTCTTCCTAATCCATTTTAAGAAATAGCAATATTTAAAGTTATGAATTTACAGTTACCATATATATTTTAAGAATAAGGCAAAAACTTATAACCTGGCTTACATTTCTTTGTAAAATATTTGGCATTTTTCAGGCATCAATTCAGTTATCTATAGAATAGTAAAATGCACTGTTTTGTAGAAAGTCACATGCTGGTAATTACATGTGCCTTATCTATCCATCAATCAATCAATCAATCAATCACTAAGACTTGACAAATGATTCCATGGGCTGAACTTTGGCTTTGCATACTGGAGTTCTATCTCTAGCATCACATGGTCTCCAAAAAGCACAAGGAGTGACATCCAAACTCTGAATTAGAAGTATCCTCAGTGTGCCCCTGGGTATTGCCCCAAACAACAAAGAAAGATTTTTAAAAAGAAAAGAGAATATTTAAAACTAGTTTGTCAACTTAAAAAAAGATGTACTCTTTCGGCACCTCATTTTATGCAATACTTCTCATGACCTTTAGGAGTGTTTGTGAATTTGCATATTTGTGAATTTGCGTAGCTTATCATATGTTAAAAATGTCATCTTTTAAATTATAACGCGGAAATGAAATTATAGAAACTACTTTCTCCCTTTCTTTCTCAAGAATGATTTAAGATTATTTTTGCGAACTGCTTCCCTCTCCCACCCCCGCCTTTTCTTCAAATAGTTTAGTGTCCCTGCACAACAGAAATGCTTCTTTCCCTTTGTGTCTTTCCAGGGCCCATTTAATTCATGGATTCCTTCTTTCTCTGGGGTTCCCCAACAGCAGCAGCAGACTCGGAATCCAAGCCTCTCTCAATTCTCAGCAACGAATCTAGAACGATTTGTTAAACCATTCCCAAATCAGGTACCTTCACCAGGACAGGTGGGAAATTCCCGAGGAACCCAGGTGGGTCCGCTGGAGCTGTCAAAGCCTCAAACACCATCTCAGACCCAACAAAACCCTAATCACGTAAGCCTTTCTTCTTTCTTTCCTGTTGGTTTAAGGAGAGATAATTCACTTTGAATATGAGAAGGAATATGAATCAGCTTTGAAATGCAAGAGGAATTACTGAGTAAAAATCCTTACCCTAGCTTTACAGACAATACTTCCTTATCCTTTCTGAGATCAAATACCAAGAAAAAATGCAATTCAAATAAACTATTCGGGATCACATACACAAAAACTTAAAGAATTAGTGTACATCTTTAAGGAAATTTTATATTAATGAAAGAAAAACAATCATCATTAATACCATTAATGATGGCATAAGAAAGTCCGTTAATAAAATCTTCATTAATATGGCTTGAATAGAGATAAGGATAAATTTTCAAACTTGACTAAAACTCACATATTTGAAATATAAAAATAAGGTATAACTTTTATGTGTTTCCTTTTTTTGGTAGGTGTTGCCCTATATATTCCCTTTCAAAATGCCTCAAGAGCAAACACAGGTAAATGAACAGAACACTGCTATTTTATAAAAAGTTGGCTACATACATTTTCCTTCTATAATTTCTTTAAAATTTATAGCTCTGGTTCATATAGAAGTACAATAAAATCCCATACAACATCAATAGTTATTACTGTATGAATACTTGCTGATTTGGTAGTATTAGTTTCACTTAATAGCCCTGAAGAAAAGCTGGCTAAAAGGGAATTTCAAGAGAATTACACCACTCTGAGAAAAGAAGCCCAAGTCCTCTCACATCTAAAATTCTGGCCTTTGGAGAAACTCAAGAAATACAGTGAGCTGACTTTGTGAAATGTTTCAGATAAAGATGAATTGATTGACAAAATACGTTGTGGCATAGAAAAGAATCTAAACACTTGTCCCTGCTATTAGACATTTACGAAATCTATATCAAAACACCTCTGTCTTCTCTTATCGTGTCATCTTGATAATACATAGCTCAAAAACTATGGATACAGATAAATTATATTATTTGCCACTTGGGCCTACTATAATCATAACTATGGAAGATTGTTCCACACCCACTACATTGCAAAACAAAACTAACTTCTAGACGTTATCTCATTCAAAGTCACAAGTATTCAGAGAACTAGACACAACAAAAGTGGAATTGATTTACTTTACAGATCCAGAAACCAATGTTCAATCATTTAGATCACCTATACTAATACGTTATTAGTATATAACTATGTTGGAAAATAATTCTTTACTCTTCTTTTAATCGTAAAGCTGGTGGTTCTCCTCCCTGGCTTTGCATGAGAATCTTTGATGAGTTCTTTTGAAAATTATAAATCTTTTGGACTCTACTAATACCTAATGAATAAAACTTCATAAGTAGACAATATGATTAGCTTTAAAAATGCTCAGTAATGAATTTTGTTTTTCGTCAAAAAGAGACAACACAAGTATAGTTCTCAAGCCATGGTCTTAGTTCTGTGTGCTAATGACTATAAATAATAATAGTCTCTTTTTTTCAAGTATGAAAGAAAAAATAACAAGGATGGACTTCATTCTTTCTTTCCTAAAATTTATATGTATGCATCAACTTATACAGACTAAAAAACAAACAGTTAATAATGTGATAGTGAATTTGCAGGTGACTTTACTTTTATTTCTTTCCTTGTGCAATGTGCAATGTTCAACTATTCAAAAATGTTTATTAGCTATTTGAATCAAATTAAAATTTTTTTAATTTTGTATTCTGTTATATTAATATTAAAAGAACATAATCATTTATATATTGAGCTAATATTTTTAATTCTTGACATTCATCTAAAGAAACCTATTATATATGTATACACATGTACATATATAATTTTTTTCTGTTTACAAATAGATGCTTCAGTACTATCCAATTTACATGTTCCTACCCTGGGAACAAACTGCCACCCAATCACCTGCACCAACAGGACAACAGCAATATGAAGAGCAGGTACTGCAGTCTTTGATTGTAATCTGACTAGGTAAACCTAACAGAAACGTTGGTGGAGGGAAGCAGATACTCAGGTGGAGAGTGTGGTTTTGGAACACAGCGTACAAAAGCTTACCATTTAACAGTATTGTAAATCACACACTGTGCCTCAAATAAAATTTAAAACTAAATGAAAAAAAATAAAGAATAGAGGTTGAAATATATTTGCAGAAAAAAGAATATTCAAACACATTTTAATCACTTTTACTCTAAGCTAATTATAAATTAATAAAAGTTTAAAAATACTTTAAATACCTTATGGCTTAAACTGATGAATATAAAAGAAAATCGTGCTTATTCATAATGATTCTGTATCTGTGGTTCATTCGTAAATAACCTTGAAAATGCTTTAAGACTGGATTGTAAAATAATTAAGCCAAGGTCAAAATATGAGTCATCTTGAAAAATAAAGTGTAGTTAGTAAAAAATTTTTAGCCTCCTTTTTAGGCACATACAAGTGTGGATATTGTTTTTAAAAATTAAAAATATAAATAGGTACCAATATGAAAGTTATCCCTGATCACTATATAATATACAATTAGATAACACTAGATTAAATTTGTGAAATTGCAGTACTTTTTCAGAATTCTAATGTAAGTTTAAGTAGCTTCACATAACTAGAACAATTTATATAGAATTGAAATAATAGTTTAATCATTACTTTAGAATTTAATAAATCAAGATAAAAATGTTAAAGTTAAAAATCACTGGTACAACAATTCTAATCAAATAGTATTAATTTAAAGAGAAAGAAATCATCTTAATCTAGAAATCACATGGTACTAAAGTGATGCTTGATTATTTAACAATTAATAGACATCTAAACTTTAAGCATGTAAGCATCTAAACAATAAACATATAAACTTTCAGAATAATTTAGTATTATATAAAACATGCAATTTTAAGTAAATGTTTTTCACAAAATATGAAAAGATCAAAACTAATACATTTTTCAAAATTTTACAGATGCCAATCTATACTCAAATTGGATATATTCCACAATTAGCAGAACCTGTAAGTAAATGAAGACTTTTTGTTCTAAAAAATAAATAAAATTGTAATAATGAAACTATTTGATTTATAATGTTAAATCAGCAAATGTCCTTCAGGCAACCCAAACCCACCAGATCACAACCCTTGTTAAGCACCACAGGAAGAGTAGGAACTTAATAGGAAAAATACTGAAGACTTCTCACAGGACCTAGGTTTGGGTTAGATGAATATGAGGAGAGTTCTAATAGTGATGACAATTTACACTGGATAAAGTAGTCTGAGGAACTGGCAGTGGGCATTCTGGATTGGGTGATTTAGTGGTTCTAAGGTTAGGGCTGGAGCGATAGCACAGTGGGTAGGGCGTCTGCCTTGCACGCAGCCAACATGGCTGACCCGAGTTCGATTCCTCTGCCCCTCTCGGAGAGTCCGGCAAGCTACCGAGAGTATTCGATATGCCAGACACAGTAACAACAAAGTCTCCAATGGAGACGTTACTGGGCCCGCTCGAGCAAATCGATGATCAACGGGAGGGCCTTTACTTACTTTACTTACTTACTTACATAAGGTTAAAAAAAGTGGAGCAATGCAATGTATAGGATTGGTAAAGAAGCCAAAGCCCTCACGTGAACTAAAGTTATAAGTAAACCTGGTACTTTTGTAGATTAGACTTTGTTCTGGCCAACATTACTCTTGTACTTGTTTGTGTCCATTGTTTTTCTTACTTTCAGTGTATTTTGTTGCTCTCAGTATGCTTTTCCTTCTTGTTATTGTTGCTCTCAGTATGCTCAGAGGGCATCTTGTCAGATACCCTCTTATAATTGTGCTCTATATCAGTGGTTTTCAATTACTGTTCAACAGAAATTTCCTGACACTTCACTAAAAAGGTATTAACATATGGTATTCCTGAATCACATGTGGGTACTATTGTATAAAATACATAAATATAATCACTATTATATAAACACATATATAAAGATTTTTATTATAAATAATGGGGTGGAGTGATAGCACAGCATTAGGGCGTTTGCCTTGCGCGCAGCCAGCCTGGTCGACCCAGTTTCGATTCCTCCACCACTCTCTGAGAGCCCGGCAAACTACTGAGAGTATCTCGCCTGTATGGCAAAGCCTGGCAAGCTACCCGTGGACGTATTTGATATGCCAAAAACAGTAACAAGTGTCACAATGGAGACGTTACTGGGCCTGCTTGAACAAATCGATGAACAACGGGAGGACAGTTCGGTGCTATTATAAATAATGATGGGCGTTTTTCCTTCCTTGAAAGTTTGTGAAATATATCTTCTATTTTCACCTGTCCAGAGATGTAAACATGTTTAAAACCACTGCTGTATGTTTGTTGCTGTTGGTGCTGGAGAGAGTACAAATCCTGTTTTATTTACGCAGATTCCCAGCACCCCTGAGCTTTCTAAGAGTGATCTCTCAGTGCAGATGGAGGAGTAAGCCCCAAGCCCCTCCAGATGTGAAACCCAAACCAACAAACAAAACAAAAGTTAAAAACAAAAAACAAAATGACTGTTCAGGTGGAGAGTGTTAAGGCCTAATGGAGAATAATAAGCAAAATCCTCACCACACGGAGCTAGCCTGCAGCATTCGTTTACTTTCCTGATGTTAGTAGATTTTCTTTTTCTCAAATATAAATTATTTTGGTGATAAATAGTCATACTCGAGCAGGCCCAGTAATGTCTCCATTTTTGAGACTTGTTGTTACTGTGTTTGGCATATTGAATACGTCACGGGTAGCTTGCCAGGCTTTGCCATGTGGGCGAGATACTCTTGGTAGCTTGCCGGGCTCTATGAGAGGGGAGGAGGAATCGAACCCAGCTCGGCCAGGCTGTCTGAGCACAAGGCAAACGCCCTACCGCTGTGCTATCCTTCTGGATTACAACTGATGCTACCTGAGGCTATCGCCAAAGAGTCTCTTCTGCTGGTGACTGAGTGACCATAGGGTGCTGGAATCAAAACTGGATCTCCAAAGCAAAGCATGCATTCTGCTTATTTAGAAATTTCTTCCATCCCTAAATTACTTTTATTTTAACAAACTAAAGAAGTGGACAGGCGCCAGAGAGATAGTACAGGATTAAGGCACTTGTCCTACAAGCAGCTGACCCAAATTTGATCCCCCACATAGCCAGAAGTGATCATGAACTCAAATCCAGGAATAAGCCCTGAGCACTGTCAGGAGTGGCCCCAAAACAAGACAAATGAGGAAAAAATAAAAAGGTGAACTAAGTTTTGTACCTGAGATATGAAGGAACATATTTTATATATTTATAATGTGGATTTTCCAAACCTTTGTAATTGTTTAGGTGGTCCCTGGAGGACAGCAACAAATCACTTTTGACCCAGTCATAATCAGTGTTCCTGAAACTGCAGCAGTGGTAAGATTCCTCACCATACTGAGCTTCCTACCAGATGTGCAAGTGACATTTCAGGATCCATGCTTTATTGTTCATTTTAATAAAAACTTTAGTGTGATCGCATCAAATTTTTACTTCTTCCACGGTAGTTTTTGGCAGTGAGGATTTAACCAATGCAAGAATCCACTTAGCTATTAGGTATATGTATGCCTCAAGAAACCAAATGTTCTCTAAGGTAAGATAATTTAGAATCAGACATTTAGGCATTCACATATGCTAGGATGTATTCATAAACATTATGATGAATAGATTATACTCGAGAAAATAGAATGTGATCTTGACTTCTTAAATTTCTTGCTTTGCATATTAAGCCTGTTGCTCAGTGTTCTTTTCAAGTTTAACCTTCCTCTTGAACCTGTTGCCACTTTGTTTTCTTTCTCATCTCTATAGCCAGCAGGAGGAGTGATGCCATACTTTCAAAACGAAATGATAGACTTTAAGCATGCCAGTGCAGGAATTGCCATTCCTTCAACTTCACCAAAACCCAGCACAACAAATTTTTTTGCTCCTGTCATAGACCCAACTATTACCCCAGAGCTCATGGAAGAGAAGGTAGAGTAATGAAAGATTTCTTATACATAAAAAACGGCTAACAGAAAAAATAAACATAAAACCACTTTTAAAATTTAATTATTGGGGCTGGAGCAATAGCACAGCGGGTAGGATGTTTGCCTTGCACATGGCCGACCCGGTTCGATTCCCAGAATCCCATATGGTCCTCTGAGCATCGCCAGGAGTGATTCCTAAGTGCAGAGCCAGGAGTAACCCCTGAACATTGCCGGGTGTGACCCCAAAACCATAAATAAATAAATAAATAAATACAATTTAATTATGGAAAGCATGAGAGAAGATAACAGTAGAATCTATGGTCATATCTGAGTCAGGAGACCAATATATGTTGACAGCTACTGAATCAGACTCTGATAATTTTTATTTAATAAGAGTTTCTTATAAATTTCCTTTTCTTACTAGGCCAAGATTGATAGTCCCAAGGAACCATAAGATGTTGACCTAACAATTCAGAGTTTGGGTAGGTATTTGCCAAAGAACAGGTATTAAGAACCATGGCATATCCTAAATTAAAAGAGGAAAAGGACTGACAGTGGAACTAAGGAAAAAGTCACAAAAATGGAAAAATGTTGGTTGCTTATAATCCCTACAATGCTAATGATTATATGTTAGCATTTAAAAAAATCAAATTAAATTTTTTCCATATTAGCCTATGCTTTGACTTGATTAGTTCTGAATAACAAAATAGTAAATATAGTATATATCATATAAATAATATTCTACAGACGCAACATATAGAGTCAGTTCTACAGATATAATAGACTCAACTTTTTCAAACCAATGTCTCACTTTGCAAATATTATTGGAGCAATGCCAATACATCTATCCATATTAGCTGGAATGAAATAAAGTCCCAGTATGATAAATAATACAAAATTTAATGAAAATTTTAAATTTAATGACCCTTATATCAAAATAACATTGAATATTTTAGTGGATCCATTAATTTTGATGCTGGAGGGTATTTATAGATGAGCATATTGGAATGGCACCAAGAACTAGAATTTTATTCTGAAATAAAACATGTATTAGAATGAACTAAATAATGAAAGAATTTGCAATCTCCTCCCTGCTGCCTATGAGTCTTTTCCAGTTTTTCCTTCTATGAAAATAACACTCAGCATTATTCAGATGATACATAGACCAAAAACTGACTAGAAGTATTAGCAACTCTTTACAAAAATGTTGCTATAGTATAATGTGTTGCACTATGTAATCAAATCAAATTGTTCAATCAGAACACTAAAAATGATTCAGTACAACCTGGCCTCAATAATATATTACAGCAATGCCCACAAAAAAGAAGCTTTCAATTTTTTTATTGGGAAATTTAGAAAATAATAGTAAGCTTTAGACAAAACTCTTTAATGCCACGAAAATGTGATATTTTACTTTTCTTCTATCTTGTTTTTCAGGGGAAAAGATGTGATGGTGCCTTGGATATCACTTTAGGCTACTAGCTTTCTAAATGCAAATATAAAATTTTTGAAATATAAAAAAAAGCTCTTCTGATTTTTTTATTTACAAATAATGCTAATGCTTTAAATCATAGGATAATAAAATCATGAATAAATGCTATCTTAAAATTGTATTTTTTTCAAATATAATGTCATTGGGTAATCTGTACAAGAATAAGAATAAAACTGATGTTACCACGTCAACTGGATAGTTGCATTAATAAAGAATAGCTCTACAATATGATATCATCCCTGAGAATAAATATATAATGTCACTGTATTTACTAGTGTGGTGATTGGACTTCTGAACTAAAGTATATATATCATCTCATTATTTCTTTTAAGCCCTTCCATCTAGAATCTTTATGATACCTTTCCCATTAGAATAAAAAAATGACAAAATAAAGTGTATACAATCATTGTTCACAGCTACATAGAAAGGTGGCTGTCATCAACCCAAGGAGATACATTCATTCCCTCAATGATATGTTTTGGTTTGAGAGGCCACAACTTGTACAGATAGAATATAATTTTTGACAATCACCCAAACTGGTTTTCATTCTGGATTCTACTTTTAGTAAAGTGGCTTACCCATTTCAAGTCTAAATTTTCTTTAGTTTAAAACAGAGACAAAAATATCTATCTCTTAGATTTTCTAAAAGGGATATATGAAACAACATATGTAAGAAACATGGTTCAGGGCAAGAGAAATGGTAAATGGGTAAGATATTTACTTGGCATGCGGTCAACCCAAGTTCAATTCCTACCACTGAGATTTGTCCCCTGAGCACCTCCATGAGTGATCCTGAGCACATAACCAGGAGTAAGGCATAAGCACAATAGGCTGCAGCCCAACTTGTCCTGCCACCCCACCCCCCAAAAATGGCTCCCCATAGAACACTTCCACACATACACAAAAAAAATCCTAGCTCATACATGCTAATCTAACTATGTTCATTTTCCCCTTTCATTTATGACTATAAATATACGTGTTTTCTTATTTTCTCAGCTTTGGAACTTCAGCTGGAATCCTAAGAAAATGAGGGGTCTGGGAATTTGATATATTTTTTCATATCTACATGCAGATTGGGCTGGATTTATAGCACAGGGCGTAGGGTGTTTGCCTTGCACGTGGCTGACCTGGGTTCGATTTCTTCCTCCCACTTGGAGAGCATTGCAAGCTACCGAAAGTATCCCGCCCACATGATAGAGCCTGGCAAGCTCCCCGTGGCATATTCGATATGCCAAACACAGTAACAACAAGTCTTACAATGGAGATGTTACTAGTGCCCACTTGAGCAAATCGATGAACAACGGGAGGACAGTGCTACAGTGCTACATGCAGATTCTGTAGTATATGAGTGTATATGTGTGGAAAAGAATTATTAACTGAATTAGTGAATGAATATGCATTTGATACTTTCAGGAAAATTTGGTTTTACTGGTTAAGTTGATTATAATTCTTAGAATTTAATCTTTTCCAGAATATAGGAGTTGTTAAGACATTGGAATTTTCTACTTATCTTTTATAATAATAACCCAATTCAACTATGTTATGTTAATTTTATAATTAATTCTTCTCTAAATTGAAGTGAAGAATAAGTGTAAATCTGGGTAACTGAGTTACTTCACCCTACCGAATATGTCAAAGGATGTCAAAGATCAGGAAAATGTCTGATAAAATCAGGTATTCAGCACTTGGATCCCCTAATTGTGTCCCCAAATCTTAACATCTATAACATCTTTGAAAAAAAAATTTCCTGAAGTAATTTATTCCTGGTGTTTATAATGCTTTCTGAAACACAGTCAGTATTCAATTTCCCTCTTTTTTTCTATGTGTGGGGGTGCTCCAATGCAGTGTTCAGGGGATCCAATGGCCATCCAAACAATATTCAATTAACTGGCTGACAGTTCAATGGTGGGTTCAGAAGATGCAGCTCTATCCAGGCTCAGCAGAGTAGAGGATTATCCGGGTCATCAAGAAGGTTCAGGAACCTTCAGGGTGAGTCTGATAATGTCCAAGAGACCATATGATGCCAGGGATCAAACCTGGATGTGCCATAACTAAAGGTATCTTCTCTGAGCCCTTCAACTTCTCTTTTAAATAAAAAGAAAGAAGTGATATTTATAATATCTTCTAAATAAAAGTAAATGTTTTCATGGAAACATTAATATCAAGATAAATACGCTAATTCTTTAAAATTTATTTTGGTTTTACCACGCCCTCCAGTGCTCAGGTCTTACACTTAACTCTCTGCTAAGATTTTACTCCTAGAAGTGTTCAGGGGACCTTATGTGTCAGGGTTCAAATCTGGCTTGGCAAAGAAAGGAAAGTTTCTTAAACCTATACTTTCCCTCTAATCCCTGGATAGGTAGTTTGATACTGAGCTAAGAATTCTTCCCTACCTTGCTTGTAATCAAAAGTTCACTGTCAGTTTTATCTGATTAATCTGTCTATTGGAGTATAAATTGCCTTGAGTTAAATTCACAGAGGTGGGGCTGGAGTGATAGCAGAGCAGGTAGGGTGTTTGCCTTGCACACAGCAATTTCGAGTTCAATTCCCAGCATCCCATATGGTCCCCCAGCACCGCCAGGAGTAATTCCTGAGCACAGAGACAGGAGTAACCCCTGTACATCACTGGGTGTGATCTGAAAAGCAAAAAATAAATAAACAGATAAATAAATAAAATAAATTCACAGAGAAATGTAAAAGTGGGATTTTTTTTATTATTATTTGCAGTGAGTGGCCAAATCCAGACCTCATTCTATCTCAGTTCCTCTGAAATTACTAAAATGGTGATAGATATTTTGATTTGTTTTTTTGGTCTTTTATTTCTGTCTCTTCTCTCTCTCTCTCTCTCTCTCTCTCTCTCTCTCTCTCTCTCTCTCACACACACACACACATACATATCTCTCTCTTTCCCACCCTCCTTACTCCTTCTCTCCTTTTCCCTCTCTCCCTCACTCTCTTTCTCCCTCTCCCTTGCTTTTTCACAACTCCTGCATTCTCTTTAAAATTAATATTCTTGATGTGGGTGGGCCCCACAGGTACTTATGTGAAGCGGGGAGAAGAAAGATGGTCACTTTCTCCCCATCCTGCTCTGCCACCCAGGACCCAAGGTTACTGGGTTCTTGTCTTGCCTCACAGAAAGGAATTTCAGGAGTAGAGAAGCAGTGAAATTAGAGTTTTTATTTGGAGGTTTTGAAGGGAAGGAGGGAGAAAAAGTGGGAGAGTGGAGAGGAACCAGAGAGAGAGAGAGAGAGAGAGAGAGAGAGAGAGAGAGACTCGGGCTTCTCCAAGGGCAGAGAGAGCCCCTACACACTTCCCAGCATTAGACATGAAAGCATGAAAGTAAACATCTCAAAGTGGAGATGCAGGTGACACATGTGCCCAGGCACCACATGTGCTCTGCCACATGGGTGCAGGCAGCACATGGGCTAGGGCAGCATCCTTTGTCCAAGGTGGCCTTTATAGGGTTTCTCCAACCAGCTCCCATGTGGGGCTTCTACCTAGGTAAAAGTCCA